CTCCTCCGGAGGTGCCGGGCCAACCAGGCGGGAGACGAGCCCACTGCTGCGGCGGCTGCTGCTGGGATGGTGGCTGCGGCTGGGACGACTGCTGCGGCGCGGGTTGCTCCTGCTGCGGCTGGGGCTGCTGCTCCTGCACACCTGTGGTAGTCCCATCAGGCGGACTACCGTCACGACCACCACCACCACTACCTGCGCCACCACCCCTACCTCCTTGGCGACCACGGCCACCGCGGCGCGAGCGCTGCTGCGGGTGGACCGCAACAGCCGTCTCGGTGAGAGGGGTCGTCGTGGCGACCGCAGCCGGGACGTCAGTGAACGTGCACTGGGAGGGGGCACAGCTGTGAAAGATAGAGACTGCCGGCGCACCGCTCGACTGAGCGATAGTGCGCTGGCGAGTGTCTATCTCGGTGAGGGTGTCGACAAAGGCAGTGAGGGTGAGGTCACCCGGGTGCTGGCTAAGGAAGTGATCGCGAGCACTAGCGAGGTGGTCTGGCAGGCGCATGGCGATAAAATAGAGCGTCATGCAGAAAGGGGGGGGGGGAGCGCAGTGAGCTGGGCAGCAGTGCTGGCAGTGCGATAGCGGGTCTCTAGGGCACGCAGGTGAGCGGCAAAGTCTGCGACGGGAGGGAAGGCTGCAAGGTCTGGGAACAGCATCGCGAAAAGCAAGCGGCCAGCAGAAGCAGACGCGGGTGTGGAATAGCGGGCAAATACTGCGTCTAAGTAAGCTTTGGCCGTCTCAACAGTAGCAAAACGGGAGCGCTCAGAGACAGGGAGGGCGTGGCTAATAGCAACCTGAGCGACTGCATCGCGGGAGTCCCAGACAGCACAGGCAAGTGCAGCAGTAGAGAAGGACTCATAGTCATCAGAGGAGGGGTCAGCAGGGAGGGGAGCAGGTGCAGGGGGGCGGGGGAGCAAGCCATCGACATGGACAACCAAAGAGTGGCCATCCTGGCACTGACCTGTAAGGTGGCGGCGGAGGTCAGAGAGCCAGGCGGCGAAGTCAACCGCGTGGGCCTCGGCGTCCAGTCGGAGCACGAAGTCAGCCATCGTGCAGGGTCAGCGGCACAGCTCCACAGCTCTGCAGGAACACAGCTCCGCAGGAACACGGCGGCAGCGCTCTCCAGCACGGCGGCCGCAAGGCGCCCCAGCGCGGGCGAGCAGAGTAGACAGAGCCCGAGGTGGCTCGGCAGGGCGAGCAGGCACGAAGAGGGGCCGGGCGGGCAGTGGGGGAGGCCAGGAAGACGCGGCGGGGCCAGGCAGGCGCGGCGGGGCCAGGAAGGCGCGGAGGGGCCGGGCAGGCACGGCGGGGCCAGGCAGGCGCGGCGCGGCCAGGCAGGTGCGGCAGGGCCAGGGAGGCGCGGCAGGGCCAGGCAGGCGCGGCGGGGCCAGGCAGGCGCAGCGGGGCCAGGCAGGCCGCGGCAGGGCCAGGGAGGCGCGGCAGGGCCAGGCAGGCGCGGCGGGGCCAGGCAGGCGCGGCGGGGCCAGGCAAGAGCGGCAGGGCCAGGGAGGCGCGGCAGGGCCAGGCAGGCGCGGAGGGGCCAGGCAGGTGGGCCGGGCAGGCGCGGCGGGGCCAGACAGGCGCGGTGGGGCCAGGCAGGCGCGACGGGGCCAGGCAGGTGCGACGGGGCCAGGAAGGAGCAGCGGGGCCAGGCAGTAACGGCGGGGCCAGGCAGGCCGCAGCAGGGCCAGGCGGGCGCGACGGGGCCAGGGAGGGCGCAACGGGGCCTAGCGGGCGCGACGGGGCTTGGCAGGGCGCGACGGGGCCAGGGAGGGCGCAACGGGACCTAGCGGGCGCGACGGGGCTTGGCAGGGCGCGACGGGGCCGTAGCAGGCGCGACGGGGCCTAGGAGGCACAAGGGGCCCAGGAGGGGCGCGACGGGCTAGGAGGCGCGACGGGGCCCAGGAGGGGCGCAACGGGGCTAGGAGGCGCGACGGGGGCCCAGGAGGCGCGATGGGGCCCAGGATGGGCGCGACGGGGCTAGGAAGCACGACAGGGCCCAGGGGGAGGCGCTACAGGGCTAGGAGGCGCGACGGGGCCCAGGAGGGGTGCGACGGGGCCTAGGAGGGGTGCGACGGGGCTAGGAGCCGCGACGGGGCCCAGGAGGGGCGCGACGGGGCTAGGAGGCGCGACCGGGCCTAGGTGGCGCGATGGGGCCCAGGGGGGCGCGACGGGGCCTAGGAGGCACGGGCGGAATCGGTGGGTGGGGGGGGATCCTAACCTACGGGTGATACCATGTTAGAAAGAAAACTGAATATACCTAAGTGTTGTACCCTCTAAGAGGCGACCCTATACAGTCTATACAAACATTAGAGATATACATGTTTGATAGAGCAACCCTGGCCCGAAAAGCGGGCGACGGGCACGTGAACCAATCTACCACGGGTTCTGAGTCTATCACGTGCATTCAGCCGAGGAAGGATTTGCAACCAATCAAGGAGCACACTGCGAGTTCCATTCAATACCAACTTCACGTGGTATTGCGTCGTGTGTTCTGCACATGTGAGTTAGAAACAAAGTCACTAACCATTGAGTTAAAATGGCTTGTTAAGAAGCGGGTAAGTACTGTCAACCTATATTTGTATATGTTATAGGCTAGATAGGTGCATGCTCATAGAGAGTACAACTCAGGAAAAAACCACCCTATATAACTCATTCTAGTTCATTGCGTTATTCTGAGATGGTATCACGGCAGGTTAGGTTCCCCTCCCCGCTTATGCTTCCGCCCCTAGCCCTAGCCCTAGCCCTTGCCCGTGTCCCAGCCGTGGCCTAGCCGTGCCCTAGCCCTAGCCGCGCCCGCGCCCTAGCTTTGTCCGCGCCGGCCCTGTCACTTCGCGCCAACCCCGTTAGTTCGCGCCGTCCCCACTAGTTCGCGCTGGCCCCGCTAGTTCGCGTCGGCCCCATCACTTCGCACTAGCCCCGTCGGTTGGCGCCAACTCCGCTAGTTGGCGCTGGCCCCGTCCGTTTGCACCGACCCCGCTAGTTCGCGCCGGCCCCGTCGCTTCACGTTGGCCCCGTCAGTTCGCGCCGGCCCCGTTAGTTCGTGCCGGCCCCACTAGTTTGCGTCGGCCTCGCCAATTTGCGCCGACCCCGCTAGTCCGCGCTGGCCCCGCTAGTCCGCATCGGCCTTGCTAGACCACATCGGCCCCGCCACTTCGCGCCGGCCTCGCTAGTTCGCGCCGGCCCTGCCATTTTGCGCCAGCCTCACTTCCTTAGTCAACACCCAGGTGACCTCACCCTTCTTGCCTTTGTCACTGCCCTGTCCGCGATAGAGACCCGCCAGCGCACCATCCGTCAGTCTAGCGGTACTGCGGCGGTCCCTATCTTCCAGGGCTATGCTCCCTCCCAATGGACTTACTCTGACGTCTGTGCCGCTATTACTGAGACGGCCCTTGCTGCTGAGACCGCTGCGGTGGCCTCAGCTCAGGCTCGTCAGGGTAGGGGACATCGGGCCCAGGGGGGGCGTGGCGACGGGAGGGGTGGTGGGGATGGCGGAGGTAGCGGCGGTGGTGGAGGGGACGGTGGTGCAGACGAGGGGACCAGGGCTGATGCCTCGGTGCAGCAGCAGCAGCAGCAGCCCCAGCCCCAGCAGCAGCAGCAGCCCCAGCCCCAGCAGCAGCAGCAGCCGTGGGGACCCCCGCCGCCGTGGTGACCCTGCGGCGTTGGTGGTGGTGGTTGTGGTGGTGGACTGGGCAACTCGGGGTCGGCTGGCGGCTCCAGTATGGCCACTTGTCAGTACCAGCTTCAGTCTGGCCCCAGATGTGGCACTGTCTGCGACCGTCCCCCGCTGCTACCGCCACCTGGAAGACCTCTTCCATCTCCGCTTCAGTCGCGCGCCAGACCCCCCCCGACAGGTACAGCCTGGTGTGTCATCGTGTGCTTGTCTTTGAGTTGGATATGGATCAGATTAGGTCTGTTCTCGTTCTGGGGGTGTTTGCGTGGAGCATCCCGTAGGTAGCCGTGGTGCAGCTGGAGGTTCTGGTGTCGGTGAGGAGCAGCAGCAGCAGCAGTCGCTGCCGGTGTCTGTCCTTCGCCTCCTCAGTCTTCCTTCCTCCGACCGCCCGCTTGCGCCTCCACGGCCGCCGCCTCCCCCACCTGTGTACGGGCATGTGTTTCCTCTTCTGGACTCGTTCCCGGCTCATTTCCCCCCTCGTTCTCCTGCTGTGTCTCCTCCCTTGTCTCCTGACCCGAACCCCCCCTCCCGCTAGTGGTCTCACCGTGCCTGTCGTGCTCGTCCTATCTCTCCTTTTCAGCACTCTCACCCTATGCTGCTCCTTTCTCACTCGTCTCGTGCTCCCCTTCTACCATCGCCTCCTCAGTCGTCGCTTGTTGTCTCCCCTCCTCCTATCTCTAGCTTCCTCCGCACCGCTAGTCCGTTTGTCCATCGCGTTCTCGCTTCTCTTGTTACCGACCCGTCCGTTCCTGTTTCCAGTCTTCATGCTCATGTCGCGCCCATCACTGACACTTGGCTCTACCCGCCGCCTTAACTACGCCACCACTCTGGTTTCTGACCCTGCGCGTCCTCCGTCCATCGGGGGTGCTCCTGCACTTAGCAGTGACGTTTTAGAGGACAGGCAGTACGAGCTCGCTTTCCTGTCCGAGGCTCCCCATCTCTGCTCCATGCTGCTATTCCCTAAGGGTGACCCAGACGCCCTTGACATCCCAACCCCTCGCACTTATGCTGAGGCGACCTCGGGACCCTGGGCCTCTTAGTGGATAGCTGCCATGGACGCGGAGATGGCATCTTGAAGATCCATCGGCACTTACGTCGACGCTGTTACCCCACCTGGGGTGAACGTAGTCGATGGCCGGTGGCTCTTCAAGGTGAAGCGCCCTCTTGCAGAGCCGCTGGTGTTCAAGGTGCACTGCGTTGTTAGAGGCTTCAGTCAGCGTGAGGGTGTTGACTTCTTCAAGACCTTTGCCCCGACCTCGAAGATGACCACTCTTCGGGCAGTGCTACACGTAGCAGGACAGCGTTGAGCCGGAATGTAATGGTGTGCTACATCGAACATGTATTCTTGGATGTGAGCCGGAATGTCTGACCCATTCGAGTTTCATAGCCAGACATGGCAATAATACAGCCGGTTAAGGAAGTAATAGCTAATTCCATTGCTGATTTTGGCTTAAGTTGGACTCATCATTCGAAAGCGATTAAGGTGTGAATTGAATGTGGGATGCATACTGTAGGGTGCATCTAACTCACAATTCAGAGAGGCCAGTCAACTGTGTGAAGGACACTAGAATAGGCCCTGAGAGACTATTTTGGCTCGGATCCCTGCGAAGAAGGCATGGTAGAGAGAGAGTGAGGGAGAGAGAGAGAGAGAGAGAGAGAGAGAGAGAGAGAGAGAGAGAGAGAGAGAGAGAGAGAGAGAGAGAGAGAGAGAGGCGGCGAAACTGTGTCGCCAGCGTTGGTGAGAAACCCTCCAACGACAATTGCAACTACTCAACACAAGCGTACACGCATGCCCCACCAGGAGGCTCCAAACTAGCCTATTAAAAATGGCTACATCGCCTACAGTGGCGCTTGAATGCAGGATGCTGGCCGACCGTGGCCCACCTCGTCCCTTGCCTCCCACGGAGGCGTTGGCCCCCTTGGCCCTCGTCACGCATAGGTAAGACGAGACCTTGGTCTTTGCGGCGACTGAGGCATTCTCGAGACCGCTCACCTTGCCCCCCACCATACCAACCTCACTGCGTAGCCTCTTGTTAGGCCGGGCACGCGGCGGTGGAACAACCATGGGCGCTACAGGAACCGTCGTGGGCAGGGTGCGTAGACATGGGCAAAATGCGATTGCCATTTAAACCGCATCGCATTGGGGGGCGATTTAATTAAATGGGATGCGATTTATAATCGCATTGGGTGGCGATTTAATATCTCAAGGAAATAAATCCCACATCACTTTCTGCACGTGTTAAATATTCAAACTGCATGCAGTATTTAATTAAATCGCACGATTCGATTTTAAATTGCATCGCGCTTCAAAACAGAATGAAAAAACACAAAACAAAACCAGTAAAAAACCATGGCTGCCAGGAAATTGAATCACGGGCAGTCGTAAGCTAGAGTGAAAATACATAGTGTGGTTTTGTAGGGGGTTTCATTGTGGGTTTCAGTGCGACATCGCACGCAATTAAAAAAATAAATAAATCACATATTGCATTTAGATCGTGCTTTGTGGGATGATTGAAATGCGATTAACTAAATCGCGCGATAAACAATTCATCGCATCGCGCGAGGAATTAAAAAACATAATAGAATAAATTGCAAAAACACGATTAAATGCGATGCGATGCGTTTTTTTTTTCCCATGTCTAAGGGTGCGGCAAAAGCTGGGGATACTACTGAATGAATTGGCAGAGGAGGACCAAGACTACTTGCCAGAGGCGGCGGATGATAACCCTTGCCCCCACACATGCGGGCTGCTAATGTAGACCTCCAAGTTACACCACTCAGTTTCCCATCCCAACCCCTCCCCCTCCCCATCCCCCACCCTCCAACCCCAACCACCATGACCGCAACTTCATAAGCCTTGATGTCTTATATTCTACGCATTTGAGAGAGGGTGGGATATTTTGAGGCACGGAAACTCACACAAAAGCTAGGTCAACTGCCCCAAAAAAGCGTGGGATGGAGCCCTCCAGGTCGTTGTGATGTAGCAGGCTGATGGGTTCAGTCATTCCCACCAAACAATGCATTTCAAGATGCGAATTGCTAATAGATGGAAGCGCAGATCAAACAGAGAATGTTATGGGCTGCGCCGTGTCACGCTGGACAACTTGATTGCATCGTGAGCCTATCATTTGGAATGGAAGATAGGAGATAGACCTTGTGCTCATTTGATGAGCAAAAAACCAGTGTTGTGTCCTCCACGCAGCGAAACGCTATTACTAAAAGTCAAAATGCAAAAAAAATTGCCGGACCGGCCATCCCAGAAACTCGGTCCATGCTTACGTAGGTGGCCTGGCCCTACCCCGGCCTGCCCTCGGTCCGGACTGGGCCGGCCCCTAAACCTGGGTCGTTTGGCCAGGCATTGCTCAAAGCTGGCCCAACCCGAGCCCGGCCCGTCCCATGCCCATGCCTACCACCAGCAGCCAACACTAGTCAAGGCAGTACAACAACGACCAGACAGCGTTTGCAAGATACCTAACCTACTGTACAGTGAATCCGACCCAGAAGTCAGGCGCCCCATCCCCTCTCGTCCATGCCGCCAAACGCAAGTAAAAGCCAAGATGTGAGAAAAAGGCCTGGAAGGCCAGGCCAGCCCGGCCGAGCACCGGAAAATGCTGGACCGGTTGGGTCAGGGCAGGCATTGCTCAAAGTTGGCCCAACCCCAGCCCGGCCGGTCCCAAAGTCACACACATACACACACACACACACACACACACACACACACACACACACACACACACACACACACACACACACACAATCATAGAAAACACATCCAGATATCTGGTCGCTACTCCGATTACATGAGACAGCGAGAATCCACCCATGGCATGTCATCCCCCAACCAAACACCAACCACACATATAAACCGGCACCTTAGTATCCTTCAGAGGCTATCCCCCACTTCCACAGTTCTCCAACCCTCCTGTCCTGACTTCCTGTCCCCCTCCCCCTTCCAAGGTGCAAAAGAACGGTTTCCGTAACAAACGGTCCGTTTTTTACGGTCGTTTTATACTGCAGAATAATGCAAATTCTGGCTTTTTTTTTGCACCAGTCACAAAGCACCACTTTTGACCATTTTAATCGTATTAGACGGCCGTTTTATACGATCCTATTTTATACGGTATAGAAAAAGAAAAAAAGCACAGTTTTTTTTTCACCTTGCTCCCTTTCCAAACACGTCATCCATATTGAGCTCTTCTGGCGCTCTCACAGGTCCACGAGGCGGGTCGCATTGCCAAGGGAAGCAGCGACCTCACCACTGAGCCCGGTGGTGCTCACGTCACTGCCATGTGCAGTGGTGACAGGGAGGCGAGTGGGGAACAGGTAGGAGAGTGAGCTAGACATAGCAGACTATGGAGGAAGGGTTACAAGAGTGATGGTCAGGGATTGGAGCCGAGAGGTGTGGGTTGTGCGGAGGAGAACTGAAGACCAAACCTCTGAAGGACCTGGCGCACCAGATGTGACTATGTGAGAGTGATGGTGTGCGCTGCTCTGTCCCTGGAGATCTGCAGCCTAAGGTAACAGCACAGCTCTCCTAGGTCAGTGCAGGTCTATCTCCTCAGCAGCTCAACCATGACGGAGGCTAGTGCGTCTCTGTCTGCAATTGCAAAGTCCAGGTTGTCTACGTAGACAAGGATGTAGAACGTGGTCAAGCGTGAGCGAACGATGAGCGAGGGGTCTGTAGATGACGGGACGAACTGCTATAATAAAGAGAGCAGCGTGTCATTCCACTCACGGGGCTCCTAGCGTAGGCCGTAGACCGGGCGCCGGAGAAGCCACTGGGTCCCAGGGGCGAAGGTGCCGGTAAAGCCTGGCGGGCGATGCAGGTAGACCTGCTCATGCAGAGTGCCCTGAAGAAATGCTGTAGAGAAGTTGAGGGAGTGCAGCTCATAGTCATGCTGCGCTGCTATGTGTAGTAGCGCCTGAAGAGTGGTCATCTTCAGGGTCGGGGCGAAGGTCTGGAAGAAGTCAACACCCTCACGCTGACTGAAGCCTCTAGCAACGTAGCGCGCCTTGAACACCGGCGGCTCTCCAAGAGGGCGCTTCACCTTGCAGAGCCACCGGCCATCGATTACGTTCACCCCAGGTGGGGGAACTGCATCGACGTAGGTGCCGGTGGATCTCTAAGATTCCATCTCTGCGTCCATGGTAGCTATCCACTGAGAGGCCCAGGGTCTGGAGGTTGCCTTAGCATAAGTGGGAGGGGTCGGGATGTAAAGGGCGTCTGGGTCATCCTCAGGGACTAGCAGCATGGAGCAGAGATGGGGAGCGGCCTCGGACAGGAAAGCTAGCTCGTATTGCATGTCCTCTAGGACGTGACTACAAAGGGCAGGTGCACCCCCGATAGACGGAGGACGGGCAGGGTCAGAGACCAGAGCTATGGCACGGTAAAAACATCGGGTTGAGGCAAAGTCATCGACGGCATCGACAAGAGCGTCAAGATTGGAGACAGGAATGGACGGGTCGGTAACCAGAGAGGCGAGAATGTGAGGAACAAGCAGACTAGTGGCACAAAGGAAGTCAGAGAGAGGAGGCAGAGAGACAAAAAGCGATGACTGAGGAGGCGACGGTAGAAGTAGAGAACGAGACATGTGAGAGCGGAGCAAAATAGGGTGAGAGCGGTGGACAGGAGATACATGACGAGCACGACAGGCACGGTGAGACTACCAGCAAGTGGAGGGGGTTGGGCAGGAGACAAGAGAGGTGACACAGGGGGAGAACGAGGGGGGAAACGTGCCAGGGATGTGTCCAGCGGAGGAAACATAGAGCCGTAGACAGGCGGAGGAGGCGGCAGCGGGGGAGGTGTAGTCGGGTGCTGGTGCAGCCCTATGGCTTGCACTCAGCTTGTTGTTCTTGTTCGTGTGTGTGCATGCATGGAATGGAATGACTTGTGAGTCTATGTCATTGCAATCCATTGCTTGTGTGTGTGCTTGAATGGTGCATCACAATGTGGTTTGTGTCAGTCAAGACCTTAGTGAGTTTTCACTACTCGCATGTCAACTCGTCGTTTGCGCGTCGCATATGATTTTCTATTTTGTCGAGTGTGAAGTGTCCATCACGTTGCAGGTGTGTGTAGCAAGCCATCATCAGCTCAAGAAGAATTTATCTTCCGGAACCAAGACCAAAAGGTAAAGATTTCAAGCCCAAGGGGCATGGATAAAAATTAAAGTAGTGAAAATAGTAATGTTACATTTCACTTAATGTAGCCCCTTGTTGAGTTTGTTTTGAATCTCGTCATGGTTGGGGACTCTGTGGTGACTTACCACCAATGTTGAGATCGGCTCTTGGGGTTCGTAGATGTTATAATCACAACAGGCTAAGATGTACCTAAAATGAGAGAAATTGTGCACAGTCAGAATTCCGTCAGACAGCTTCAAATATTGATGCCGATCTGATCTGTGCCTCAAACGGTGATCTGTAAACTGAATCTCGAGCGCGATGTTATCGCCTATCAGCAGCAAGTTGAATCATACAAATCCATGAAGATTTGACGACGCTATGGTGGTTTGACTGGCAGGAGGTACATCAGCCACTATAGTCTTAGAAGTCCAAACTTAGCAAGAAGAGTTCGAGGTAGGGATGGTTCCCAGCCTCTACATACCCCAAGAGCCGAGGTCCAAGTTGGTGGTACACCACTACAGAGTCCCCAACCATGAGAAAACTCGAAACAAACCCAACAAGGGGCTACACCTAGTGAAATGTAACACTACTTGGAGTAGCATTACTATTTTCACTATT